CTTGCAATATTTCTAACAGTGATTAGCACCCCCCTGTTAAAACATTCAACTCTAGAGAGACACCAGTTCTTATGTAGAAAAATGCAAACTAAGTGTATTTCCAGTCTCCTGTGGGCCCCTGCAAAGAAGCTTCTGCTAACCCTTCTTTCTGTGCAGGCATCACCTGGTCTCTGACACTGGGGTGGGCATGAGTGTGCCCTGCAGCGGGCTGAGCACCCAGGCGTTCAGCATCCCACCCTGCACTGCCCCCTAATCACAGCGAGCTCAGAGCATCTTTCTCCAAAAAGACCCAGGCGTGAAGCAAGCATTCATTAACCTCCTAAACAGGGGCCACACCCCATGTCATCAGCTCATACTCCTTGGTAGGAGAAATCTTAAATAAGAATAATAACATCAATTACAGGCACGTCAAATTAAATAAGAGCATAAGATCTGGAGAAAGAAATTGGTCTTCCTAGGCAAGGGCTTAAAAGAAAGAGAAAATCCCAGCCAGCCAACCCTGAAATAGCATTTTATTGCAGCACCAAAGCATAGACATGCAACATCAGGATGCCCGAACATTCTCACAAGTGTTCTCTGACTTGGGTCCTATCCCAGGGGATGGGAGTCCAGGAATCACTGCATGGTTTGGTCTGCTTAGACATGAGCAACCCCAGCCACAGACCTGGCGTCCACGCGCAAACTCTGGCTCCCCACCTACCTTGGATTCTCTCTGGCAGCGTGCCTCTGGAGCCACAGGCGGCACTGTCCTCAAGCACACCCTCCTGGCAGCCCGGCCTGCAGAGCTATGTAGGAGCTGCAGAGGGAGGGGCAGTCCTGTTTCTCTCCAAATATGGCAGGCTTTCCCTTTCTGGCAGGACCAATCAGGGGTTCCCGGGCACTCCTTTGTCTTGAGAAGGATGGGCAGTCTCTTGGGTCTTAACGACTAAACATCACGTGAAGACCTTGATGAAGTTCAGCAAGACTTGAGAGTTTGCTTTTTATTCTATGTATTTATTTACTTACGATTGATGGTTTCTTATAAAGGACACAAATGAACAGCCAGATGAAGAGGTATAAAGGGCAAGATCTGGAAGGGTTCCAAGTGCAGAAGCCTCCATGGAGTTTGGGGGACACCACTCTCCCAGCATGTGGATGAGTTTCCCAACTTGGAAGCTCACCGAACCCCTCTGTGCCAGGAACTGGGGACAAAAACCAATTATTAAAGCAAAAGATGCTCCCATCACCCCTATCACTCTGGAAGTTACAAGGTTTCAGAAGCTCTGTACCAGGAACTTGGAGTCGAAGATCAAAGATATATTTTTGTTATATCACAACATCACAGCTGGACGGATGGATGCATCTGTCCGAGGAGTCTGGTTAGGGCTATTTTTAAGACTGCTATTTCCAGAGGTGCCCTTTTGAATTGAAATGAGAAGTGTTAGAAGGAAAATGCTTTCCCGTCAATATCTGTATCAGAGGGTGATTTAAACAGTTCTTGCTGGATGTGCATATTGCCCTGCATCTTAGACCAGCTTCAGATTGCAAAGGGGCCTTTGCTGGGCATTCTTTGGGGAAGGGTCAAGTCAGAAAGAGGACGAATGTTCAGCTAGACCATGTGCCCCACAGTCTGGACCCACGGGGGCGAGGGGCTGTGCTTTCATGGGGTGGGAGAAAAACCAGGGCTAATGGTGGGTGTAAGTCCAAATTGGAGGACTTGCCAGCACTTTGGCCTGCTGCGGTTGTGTGGGAAAGCTTCAACCACTGAATTAGTCCAAAGGTCAGTGAGTTGAAGACCTGTGAAAACCCAGGGGATAGAAACAGGTGGAGACAAAAACCAACACCATTCCAAGATGGTGGAGGCTGAGTGGATTTCTTCAGAGTGCCTCTCCTTTTACATGATACCCAGTGTAGCGGGGAGAACTAGAGAATCAGTCCCCCCGGCATAAGGGACTATACATAGTATCGGGTGACCATTCCTTGTACAGAAGGGACTTGCTCAGTTGTCCCTGTTACTGATCATTACTGCAACGCGAAATCGAAAGTGAACTGTGGAGGTGTGTGTGGAATGAGAATTGCCTGTAAATAAAATGTGATCTTCATCCTGAATGTGACTCAATCAGTGTTCACCATTATTTCTCTTCAAAGTCCCTTTGCTAACCAAATTAAGTGGTTACCTCTGAGAGGACCAGCAGATGGCGCTAGAGGAGTTTATAAAGACCTGGAGGTGGGACACCCCGCAGCTGACGCTGCCCCTGCAGAGCTTCTATGCTCCAGCTGGATTTGGGGCTTCCAGTTGCCCCTTTCTTTCTCCTCTGCCTTTACTTTTAAATTTTATTTCATTTTCCTCTTTTAAAAAAAACTTTACCATTTTTATCAAGTATCATAGACTTTTTGGTCTTGTGAACACACACACACAAAGACATTAGTAGTGCAAACTTAGTATAAACTACTTGCAAAATGCAGAAAAAAAAAGAGATCTCTTAATATTTCACTGTCCAGAGACAAGTGTCAATACAATTTTGTTCACTATATAGGTGCTTAGGGTCAAATTAGGGTTTGAGACATTTAGAGCTGGGAAGGACTCTGAATCTTCTAGTCCAGCTCTTTCACACTGTGAGGTCATAGGACCCAGATAGGCCCAAGGTCGCCCAGCCAGGCGGGCAGTGCTACCCCTGTGGGCCCATTGCTCTGTTCGAACTCTGTGTACCGTTCACCCTGCCTGTCCCCATCTAGTACCATCTCCTCCAGGTCCCCTCCATCCCTTTCTTTCTATCCCTTCCTGAGAAGAGCTTTGCCCAGAGGGCAGTGGGAGGCTGGTAGAGAGCTGATGAGGCTGCAGATTCCTCTTGTCAGTGAACAAAAGGCTGTTCTCAGAGGCACAAAGGAGAGCAAAGACAAAATGTTCAGAAGACGGGAGGAGCTCTGGAAGCTGCAAATGAGGCAAGAAAGCTGTTAAACAGACGCAGGGAGTTCAGAACTGCTCCAGTCCCCGCCTGTAAAGATGAACAAGCAACCAAGGAATTCGTGTGAGAACATTAGTCTCTATAAATGAGCTGAGAGGCAGGGCCTAGTGACTGTCTCCTGGCATCAGTCATTACATTGGGAATATAATTTAACGTTGAGCATCTTTGTGAAAACAGGGAGAATGAGATTGATTCCACGGGGTTGGGTGCTCCATGATGCAAAGGACTATGATATATTTCTCTCGTATGTAGGAACAATAGGAAATGATGTGGATTAACAAAGAAAGCAACACGGAAATGCTGCGTTTTAGAATGCACAAGTGGGTCATTATTATGCCAATTCCTAGTTTGATCAGAGCTTGGGTCTTAGGAGCGCATTATAAATAAATACAGTGATTGTTAAGATACAATGCCAAACTGGACCCAGAGGTGTTAGTGTGTGGGAAGATCACCCACCATACCTTGGCTTAATGGTAGAGAAATAATTGAAATGTGTTTTGGAAAATAATACTTATTAGAAAGCTGTGTAGCTGTCTAAACAACCATTTTAAAATTTGTATTGAAGTCTACTGTATTCACAGAAAGCTACATATATCTTAAGTGTATAGCATTGTATTTTTACAAACTGAACACACCCCAATAACTTGCATCCAGATTAAGAAATGGAACATGACAGCACCCCCAAAGCCTCCTTGTGTTTCTGTCGAGTCATTGTCCCCTCCCCTGTACTGTCCTGACTCCTTTCACCATAGGTTAGCTTAGCCTGTTTTTATACTTCATATAAACGGAGTTATATAGAACATAAACTTTTGCTTCTGTCTTGCTCAAATTAATTACATCTGTGAGATTCTCCCACATCGTATGTAGTTATACATTGTACACAGCTGACGTCTCTGTTCCCGTTGGTGGGCATTTGGGTGATTCCTGGCATGAATAGTGTTGCTGCAAACATTCTTGCACATGCCTTTCAGGGGACACATGATCACTTTTCTGTTGGATGTGCTCCCTGACAGGTAGCCTTGCTGGGTGATAGACTATGCCTACATTCAGCCTTTATAGTCTGAGCATGCTGATTATTGCTTTGTGCAAATCTTAAATGCCACCACCCTCTATAGGGTGCCCACTCTTCTCTTCCCAGGCATGGTCAGGGGTCTCACAGCATTTGGTCTCACAGCAGATTAGTCATCTGGGGCACCCCATTGTTTTCACCCATCCAGTTGAGCTCGCAGAAGTTGAAGGACCGTATTTCATTTGCACGTGTTTGCCCCTACTGAGCCCCGTGCCTAGAATCTAGATGCATCTAGATTCCCTTTATCCTTTCTTTTCAGTGACCTGGTTGAGGACAGTTGTCAGAGCTGCAGATGGCTCAAAGCTGCCAAGGTGGGCTGTGCGCCAGAGGGCAGGCTCAACACTGCAAGTTGCAGCAGGTCTGGGTATATAAAGGCAGCCAAGGAAATTTAACAGGAATGAATACAACAGTTTTACGATTAATTAAAAAAATAAATCAAGGGCAGCATGGTGGGTGAAAACCTGTCATGGGAGAGGTTGCAACTGCGTGGCATACAGCTGTCTAGAAATGTAAGATGAGCCTACAGGGCAATCGCTGCTTGGAGAAGCAAATGCTGTACTCATCACAGGGTTGTTTCCTCTGCAGTTCTCTGCCCTTCCCTGCTCAGACCCAGCTGGTGTTGGGAGCTGGGCTGTGGGGGCTGGGGCGTGGGGGTTGATTCAGGGGAGGGAGGTGAGTAAAGGTTTGGAGGTGAGATATCTCCTTGTGGCTTATGAGGGACTACTGAAAACAGTGACTATCTTGAGTGTCACGGAATGTTCATGGAACAGGTTGTTTGTTAAGTGAGAAGATAGAGAGCCATTGAAAATTTAGAGCAGGGGTAATAGGCTGAAGACTGTGTTTTAAGTTGACCCAGAAAGGAATGCACTGGAAAAGGGCAGACACTCCACCCTGAAGATCTTAAGAAGGGCAGAGATGGCAGATTTGGCTATCATGTTCAAGTTCCTTACTCAGTCTCTCACCACTTTTCTCATAGCCCCTGATGTTTTATTTTTAAAGATTAACTTGATCATTGGATCTGCAGGTCTCTTCTCTCCCTAATATGCAGGAAGATATCCAAAAGGGGAAAGGCCTCCCCTAGGGTGAGGTTACCTGGAATAGGTGAGAAGGGTTAGTTATGGTGTCACAGCAGTGACACCTTTGTTACCCATGGTGGCTTTCATTCCAGGGGAGGCCCTGGGGATGCTGCAAAGAGAGGGAGCATCAACCAGAGACCCAGGTTCTAATCCATCCCCTGTTGTTCTGTTCTCTGCCTGAGTGACTTTGTTATCAACTATAAGAGGAGAGCTTAATTGCCCTCCGTCTCAGATAATGAAAGCTCTATTTAATGGACATCACTGGGGGAGGTGCTTGACACTGAGAGTCAGTTCTCACATCTGGGCAGGAGGTATGCTCCCCACCATTCATAGGGCTTATCAAACATTGCTTAGCACTGTTGGAACCACTGACTTCAATACAAATCTTTCCTCCAAAATATCATAAAGGGAAGTAAGCTAAGGTCTAAAAGCTGCTTTGAGTACATGGGCATTGTGTTCACATGTTAATTATTGGCCTGTCAGAATCACGAATGAAGGGTTTCCCGTTGTGATGGCAAATAGCAAACGCTGAAGGGGTTTGTGCCAGAGGCTGGGTCTATGATGGCTTCAGCTGGGAGAAAGACTGAAGCACCATCAAGATAGGTCTCAGTCGGTGGGGAAGGTAGTGGTAGAGTTCTAGAGCCAACCAAACTGGAAAAT